GTCGAATCCCCGGCGATAGGTTGCGGCGAAGCTGCCAAATCGGTTGCCGATGGTGATGAAACCGTGCATGCGGTGGAATGTTGCACGTGGAGCGGTTGGTCCAGCGGTGGAACCAAGTGGACAGCATAATCCTCGTAAGTATACCGAGGACTTGCGACATTCGCATCCTCCCTAGATGTGCAGGAGGCCGCTAGCAAGGCGGCCGAATCTGGCGGAGTAAAAGGTGGAGTCGCCTCACCTTCCGCGGAGCTCAGTTTCCCGAGCTRAGGCGGGGTCGCACATCCTCCTTGCCCTGATCTTGGCACAGGGAGGTCTTGTGCTTGGTGCTGTTGCACCAATAGCAGCTGCCGTAGCGGCCGCGGATCTTGTACTCCGCCTCGGTCAAGCCAAACTTGACCCATGGAAACTGTCCTGGCTGTCCATTTCCGGCCTGCGATGCTGATTTCGCCTTCCCATTGTTGCGGGACTTGTTGGTGCTTCGCGGCTGGACAGCGGCCACCTGATCTCCGTCACTGGATACTGGAGTGGCTGCTGGGTTATTTCCACTGTCCTGCTGGACTGCAGCGAAGTGCTGCTGTCGCGGACCAGTTCGTGCCTTCTCCACATAGGTCGGCTGCCATGATGTTGATTTCTCGTGTGCAACTGACTTGTTGGTCTTGATGATCTCCCTCGCTTTGTCAATGATCTCCGCGAAGGTTGAGTACTGCTCGCGATCACCAAGAGCCTGGATCAATGCCGCACAGGACCTGTTGTAGAACTCACGGCGTAGATGCTCGAATGGTAGGTTCAGATTGGGCACAGCCGCAATCTTCTGCCACTCCGTGAGCCAGTCCSGTGTTGYTGTGTTGCCCTGTGACATGGTGAACAAACGGTTGATGGCGAGTGYCGRCGCGTCGTCGACGATGAACCGCTTCTTCCACAGCCGTGTYAGTTCCTCCCATGTGATTACGTCCTTCAAGTCTGGTACGTCGACGCCGTGGGAGGTTGCCAGGTGGCTCAACCAGGTCTGGCATCCGCCCTTTGAGATCAGGAACAGGGCGCCGATGTACGCATGCTTGGCTACTGGCAGAATCCAGAGTTGCGTTGTGAATGCTTCCCACCAGAGGACGGGATCCTGCTGCGTGTAGTCGTCGAACCTCTCCAGGTTGAAAGTTGGCATCTTGTACATCTTCGGATTGTCGTCCGCGTTYGTCGACTGCAGCTTYTGGACCTCGGTCTYCAATGTATGCAGCTGAYTGYTGATGGTGGTGGTCGGYGCAGCGAAGGTGCTGATGTCGCCRAGCATTGCCACTACRTGGTCAACGCGGTCCTCCAGTTGGCGGCTTGAGGGTGCACTGCTGGAAGCTCCAGCAGCTGGTCCTAGTACAGCCTGTTCCAGGTCCAACAATCGGGCATTGAGTGCCCGAGTTGCATCCTCGTGGCTCTGCACTGTGCGGCGGAGCGTCGCCAAYTCCTGATGCTGTTGCGTCAGGTACCGGTGCTGTCTCTCAACTCTGACCTTTGGTAGTTGCAAGCATACAACAACCGCGTCACGAGTTTGGAGAGGAACTCCTTGTGCTTTTCTTCCGGTGTTGCGTCGTCGCCGTTCGGTTTAAAATGCCAGTACTTGAGTCTGTCGATGCTGTTGGCTTCATGCCGCTGCAGCAGATCCTGGGCTTCCTTTCGGCGAGCCTGGGCATCTACGTCTGCATCGGCCTGTAGCCGCAGTTTCTCTGCTGCTGCTGCCTCTTCAGCTTGTATGCGGGCAGCCTCGACTGCCAGCAGGCGTTGTTCCTCAGCCTCTATCTRAGCCAGGCAACGCTGCTTGTAGGCGGCAATGGTCTCATTGGCCAGTTGGCCTGGCAGGCCCGTCATGTTGCTGACGTGGCACTGCTGCTTACGTGGTACTGCTGACGTGGCACTGCTGACGTGGCACTGTGTTGAACGTCACTGCTGACGTGGCACTGCGTCTGACGTGGCACTGCTTACGTGGCACTATGTCTGACGTGGCAATGTGACCTGGCACTGCGGACGTGGCACTGCTGATCTGGCACTGCGGACGTGGCACTGCTGACGTGGTACTGTGACTGGGCACTGTGACGTGGCACTGCTGACGTGGCACTGCTGATCTGGCACTGCTGACGTGGCACTGTACCGAAACGGGATGCATGCAAGGGGTGGGTGGGAGGGAAAACGGAGGGAGGTAACCAACCCAACAATGCTTTCCTCCGGCCCTAATCAACAGATAAAATAAACTCTCTCTCTCTCTGTGTCCAGTACTAACCTGTGAAGTTGGCGCCTTGATGCAGGTACCACGAAGATGGAGCTGGAGCGATGGCGCCACAGGTAAGTAACACTGGCCTCCGCCAGTCTCTCTCCACTCTACGATCTACTACCTACCAGCGCCCAGCGCTGAAGACTACAGCTACAGCTATGGCGCCCAGCGCCGAAGACTACAGCTAGCGCTACCACTACTGCCTAGCGCTGAAGA